TGTTGTGAGCCGAGGTAGAGGAGAGCTGATGACCCTAACGATCGTCCCGTCGTCAGCTGGGCACCCAGACGGCTAGATTCACTCAAGAGATCCTTTGATACCTCGCTAAACAGTGACAGGCCTACACTGATCGGTCCAATGGCGACAATCGCCACCCTCAATCATCAACCCTCCCTACCCGATAAATGTGTGGGAAAACCAGAATATTTACCTTTTTAGTAATAAATAATACCTCAGACTAAAGTTAGGATAATATAATTGACATTGCTGGATTCCTTGTAAGACCAGGAATATTTTGAATATAAATGTCATATATTTTGCACAAAAGATAACATATTTACTCAGAGTAAACATTAGATCTAAAATTTGTATGTCTAATGCAAAATCTATGATGTTTATATTCAAAATGATCATCAAATTGTAAGAATTCCAGCAATGTAAATTATATTCTGGCCGGGTAATTTGTATGAATTTTATGAGCTAAATAAAAAACAAAAATTATACTTCACGCGTATATGGGTAGATGAACCGCGGAAAGTGAAAGTTCGGTTCTGGCGAGGCACCGCATATATGAGAAATCGCGTAAAGTGAAACCTCGTAAAGCGGGGTAATACTGTATATATATATATATATATATATATATATATATATATATATATATATATATATATATATATATATATATATATATATATATATATATATATATATATATATATATATATATATATATATAGTATATATATATGTATGTATACATATATACATATATATATATATATATATATATATATATATATATATATATATATATATATATTATATATATATATATATATATATATATATATACCAAGTTCAACCCACGGCCACAGCCCAATACACGCGGACTTCTACATACAATCAACACCTCAACCCGCCAGGATTCAGACCCGGTGAGCCCTTGACTGTGACCGGGGAACCTACCACGGACCACCAGGATACTAAGCAGTCCTAGACTCTGTTATATTTCACACAAAGCCTGTTCAACGAGCTTGTAGTGAGACCTCTAATGGGCGCCATAAGCTCGTTGAACAGTCTTTGTGTGAAATATGAGTTTGAGACTGGTTTTTAGTATCTTGGTGATCAGATCGATCTAATCATGCTCAGCATGCTGAGTATTACGTATATATATATATATATATATATATATATATATATATATATATATATATATATATATATATATATATATATATATACACACAGTAATACCTCGCTTTACGCGGTCAATTGAACCCAGGGAGGCCTGCGTAAAGCGGGAAATGCGAAAAGTGAACAACAGAACATATGGGATTAATTGAAATAGAGACTGGGCCGTCCCCCAAATTCAACTTTTTCCCGACACAATACGTACGTTTTGGTAAAAATAACATCTTAACTTTATGATGGTATGCACACACACATAATATAGAAGAGAAATATCAATAAGAGAATAATATATTGTACCAGGTAAAAGAAAAATCAAGGTTTAGCACATATATCATGGTAGGTTAGGTTAGAAAAAATCAAGGTTTGGTTAAACACTCACGTTAGTAGAAGAGATGGGTCGGTGTAAGGGAATGGAGGCTGGTTCCAAGGCGGAGGGCAGGCTACTGGCCCTCAGGTAAGTCACCATCACTGTCATCCACACTTATCAGTGCCTCCCTGACAAATCCCTGAAAGTCACCATCACTGTCTCTATCACTATCACTGGCTTGGGCTGGCTGTGGTGGGTTGCGGGCGAAGAACTCGGTAATGCTTTGTTGACGGCTAGTGATAATGTTGTCGTGATACACCTTGATGTAGGGCTCCATAATCTTCAACAACTGGGTAGTGAAGACTTCATACCGGTTATCGTCAGGATCGTCGGAAAGGAGGAGCTTCAGTTTCTCTACACACTCGATGGCACCCCTTACATTACCATGAGATAACTTGCGTTCTTCTTGGGATGTCGCACTGCCTGTCTCTTCACTGACGTCATCGACTTCTAACATTTCGTCGGCAGTCACATCAGGATCCCTTATCACCTCCATAATGTCGTCGTTGGTGGTCTCGGAGAAGCCTTTAGCTGTAACACTCTGCGCAGCTTCTCTGGCAAGGTCCACTGCTGCTGCAACAGTCTGAACCTCAACAGTCACAGATTGACTCTGCCTCCCACCTGGGATACCTTGCAACACATGTCTCCATGCGTGACGAACCGTTGCTAAAGACAGCTGATCCCATGCCTCCACCAAGAAGTCCACAGCTTTCTTGACGTTGAATTTCCTCCAAAAGTGTTTCATAAGTACTTCTTGCTATGCCAACTGTTGTTCCTCATCCTCTTCGCTCTTGCTATCGGTGTCACCCAGGTTACGCAACTCATCCTTGGTGTTGATATAGTCGTTCAGGAGCTTAAACTTCTTTGCAGAGAATGCAGCTTTCACATTGCAGATTAATTCTTGGACCATGGGCTGGTTTAATGACGTAGTGTTGAGAGGAAGGAAGACCACTTTTACGTTGGGGTGACGATCCAACAGTAGGGGCGAGTGTCCTGGTGCATTGTCAAGCAGCAACAAAATCTTGAATGGAACATTCTGTTGCTCACAGAATTTCTTCACGTCGGGAACGAAACAGTCATCAAACCAGGAGAGGGACAGAGTAGAACATCCACGCCTTACGTGCGGTCAGCCAGTGGACATTTAGCTTGGTTATGTCCATGTTCTTGTAGGCGTGTGGCTTGCGGGCTGTGTGGATCACGGATAACTTGAGTTTACAGGAACCGGAGACATTAGTGGTAAAGAGGACCGTGATGCGCTCCTTCTGCAACTTCCGGCCCCGACACTTGCTGGCAGTCTTGACAACGAAGGTCTTGGAAGGTAGCTTTTTCCAAGAGAGGCCGGATTCGTCCATGTTGAACACCTGGTCGTCGGTGTACTGTCCTTCCTCCATAATCTTACGTAAAAACGGAGGAAAATCTCTAGCCGCAACACGGTCAGCACTAGCTTCTTCACCACCAATGTTAATGTTAATGATCTTGTTCCTCTTCTTAAGCCTCTGCAACCACCCAGAGGAAGCATTGAAGGGTTTGGGCTTTGCAATTCCCATCTTACGTGACACTGCTGCATACAGTTCACGTGCGTACTCCTTAAGTGAGCGCTTGTCCACCGCCATGTTCCGTCGTGCCTGACGAATCAAGTAGCTGACAAGTAATTTCTCCATCTTGAGAAGCACCTTGTTGTGGCAATACTTGATCATAGAAGCACCTGTAGACTTTGTGATGTTCATGTGTTCTTTTATCTTGGCTGCATCCTTCTTGATTGTCCGGATCGTAGATTCGTTCACACCATGCTGGCGCGCCAAATCAACCTGTCTTGTTCCTTTCTCCAACTCTTGGATGATCTTGTACTTCACCTCATACCTTAGGGCACGTCGTATCTTCTTTGGCTTAGGGCGGCTGAGTCCAAGTAATGCAAGGTTTCTTTGTGGTGGTGGTGGTCCGGTGGCAGCCATTCTTATGGAACAATGGATATCAATATACACGGTGTAGCCGGGAGGGGTGTAACTGACACGGGTAGGTCAACGGGCTTCATCGCTCCCGCGGCAGGGCACGTCATATTACATTAAACCAATCACAGCTGGCGGGGAGGGAGGTAAGGATGCTTGGCCCAATCACAGGCCGATCCGTCATATGACGTCACCGATAACGCAACAAAGACATACACTGCGCAACCTACTCGCGCCGCTTACCCAACATGGCGATATGGCGGGAGAGGGAGGGAGAGATGGTGGGAGGTTTGAATCCAAAAATGGCGCGGCGCGAGATGACCGCCAGCCGCTCTCCGTGTAATAGAGTAGATGCTCCACGTAAAGTGAACATTCCGGTTCTGGCGGGGTACCGCGTAAACGTAGAAACGCGTAAAAAAACGCGTAAAACGGGGTAATACTGTAAAGTGAAAAAAAAAATTACATTCATCCTTCCTTTACTTCTTTCATGAATTTCCCTGCTTTCCTCAATCCCCTCCCTCTTTGATGAGCAACTTACATCACAGCCCTCCTGCAAGTCGACCATGACCCCCCTTCACCCCATGTGACCTACAGTGCAGAAAGAACTCAGCTAGGTGCAGTGGTTAGATGGTGGATTGGATGATTACTTCATGACTACATGAATGATGTTGACATTAAGAATTACTTATTACCCATGAAATTTTTGAAAATCAATGAAGAATTTTAATTTGTACTGATTGAAATAAGACTAAAATTTACACTGAGCACAATAAATCTCTAGCATAATATTCTTCTCGTGTTTCTCTAGTTAGCGAATCAGTCAATCTGGCTCCACCATTCTGCTGGTACTGATGGAATGATAGAGAACACCATTCTTTTTTCTTTTATTCTCTTCACCACTGATCGGCTCGTTAGCCGCTTGGGCGATCGGTCACGTCTCTGTTACTTTTCCTTTTCTTTTATCCTCTTCACCAAATGATCAGCTTGTTAGCCGCTTGGGCGATCGGTCACGTCTCTGTTACGCTCTGTTGGCAAGTACTGGGCATGCACTGGCTCCTGAATGTACCTGAACCTGCTCCAGTGTTGGTCAAGTCTTGTCTTGAAAAAGCTCACACTCGGTGCTGTCACAACACTTTCTGGTAGATTGTTCCAAGAAATCACAACTCTCACTCCGAAAAAGTTTGCCCTCACAGTTTTCTGGACTATGCCAAGACTATTTTTTTTGGACTGATTCCACATCTCAAGTTTTAGAATAAAAAACATACTGGGCTTTAAAATAGCCCTTGACAAGAGTATCAAGAACAATGGAGGGATCCAACACACCACTGGCTTTTTTTCCCTCTGTATGGCCACCTCTAATTTGGGTGGCCATAGATAAATAAGGTACAGTATACATGTTACCCTGGAAGGCCAAAGTAAACAATGATATGAAATTTTAAATTAGAAGAATTATAATATAACCTAAAGTACAGTAATAGCCTGAATACAGTACTTACGCCATGAAATATTTTGTGAAGAAATAAGCTCTCCATAGTTTTCAAAAATATCTTGTTGAGCTCCAATGATAAAGGTGGCGTAGGTAACCAATGAAAATGGAAGTATCTGAAAAATAAAAGTAAAAATATTAAACATATCGGTAAGTATCCCTTAAGTTACCGGTATGTATAAAAATGTTAAACACTTTGACTACAGTATCTGAGTACAACTTCAACCATGTGAACCAGTACTGTTATTACATTAGTATTATCATCAAATATCTAATTGTATTAATAAAGTAAAATAGAAAAGGTACAGTGTACTGTATATAACCTTAGACTCTGCAAGTACCACAGCCAAGTCCCCCCACAAGGCTGTCACGGCTGAGTGGAAGTAGAAACCTTTGTCATATATCTCATCTACCAGAGCGAAGGTTTCATACAAAGTGTGGTACATGGGATCTCCAATAGTGTTCTAAAGGAAAAGAAAAGTTAATTACATATATTAAATGACTTTCGATCATTGACAACCACAACAAAATCCAATTTTTTTTTTTTACATAAATCTTTCAATAGAATTTTATTATTCCAAAAACATTCTAATATAAATGATAATATAATTAATATATGAAGCATCCGTAGATAAAAAAGTATTCCTTCAAAGATGAAAAAAAAATCAAACTTGTGAGACTCCCTCTGGAAAGAATTGCAAAAGTAACCAAACGGAATTAAAATCTGGTCTTGTTCGGGTGAGGACTATAACTGGTTTTGTTCGGGTGAGGACTATATCTGGTCTTGTTCGGGTGAGGACTATATCTGGTTTTGTTCGGGCGAGGACTATATCTGGTCTTGTTCTCGTGAGAACTATATCAGGTCTTATTCTGGTAAGAACTATATCTGGTCTTGATCTGGTAAGAACTATATCTGGTCTTGTTCTGGTGAGGACTATATCTGGTCTTGTTCTGGTAAGAACTATATCTAGTCTTGTTCTGGTAAGAACTATATCTGGTCTTGTTCTGGTAAGAACTATATCTGGTCTTGTTTTGGTGAGGACTATATTTGGTCTTGTTCTGGTGAGGACTATATCTGGTCTTGTTCTGGTAAGAACTATATCTCGTCATGTTCTGGTGAGGACTATATCTGGTCTTGTTCTGGTAAGAACTATATGTGGTCTTGTTTTGCTGAGGACTATATCACGTCTTGTTCTGGTAAGAACTATATCTGGATCTTGTTCTGGTGAGGACTATATCAGGTCTTGTTCTGGTCAGAAATATATCTGGGCTTGTTCTGGTAAGAACTATATCTGGTCTTCTTCTGGTTAGGACTATATCTGGTCTTGTTCTGGCGAGGACTATATCTGGTCTTGTGCTGGTGAGGACTATATCTGGTCTTGTTCTGGTGAGGACTATATCTGGTCTTGTGCTGGTGAGGACTACCATATTTCTGGTCTTGTTCTGGTGAGGACTATATCTGGTCTTGTTCTGGTAAGAACTATATCTGGTCTTGTTCTGGTGAGGACTATATTTGGTCTTGTTCTGTTGAGGATTATAATATATATGGTCTTGTTTTGTTGAGGACTATATCTGGTCTTGTGCCAGTGAGGACTACAATATATCTGGTCTTGTTCGGATGAGGACTACAATATATCTGGTCTTTTTCTGGTGAGGACTATATCTGGTCTTGTTATGTTGAGGACTATATCTGGTGTTGTTCTGGTGAGGACTACATCAGGTCTTGTTCTGGTAAGAACTATATCTGGTCTTGTTCTGGTGAGGATTTTCTCGAGACGATCCAGGACTGTTTCCTAAGTCAACATATAACCGAACCCACACGGGGTAATAATATACTCGATTTAGTTCTGTCAAACAGAGAAAACCTCATTAGCAATGTCGCGGTAGGGAACGAACTTGCAAACAGCGATCAGAAAGAAATTAGATTCCAGTTAGATTTTCAGGGCAGACGTAAGGAAAATTCCACTAAAGTACCAGATTTCAGAAGGGCAAACTTTGACAGTTTAAAGAGGCAGCTGAGAGAGGGGGTGTCGCGCTTGGCCGTGAACCTGACAGATGACTCCGACCTGATAACGAGATCTGAGTTTGCCGAGTTCCACGACAATTTAAATAATGAGTTACTTTATGCACAAAGGCAGAACATACCATACAAAAAACTCAGATCAGACAACAATGACCCTAAATGGATAAATAATTATTTAAAGAACATCATTGGCCAAAGGAAGGCTATAGGAAGAAGGATAAAGCGTGGCAAAATTTACCTCCACGATTATTACAAGATATTGGCGAGTAGGGTTAAAACTGAGATAAGGAAAGCCAAGAGGAAAAATGAGGTAAGGATAGCAAGAAAGGCGAAGACAAAACCCAAAGGATTCTACCAAATGTATCAAACTAAAACACGAGAAAAGATTGGACCAATACGGTCAGATACCGGCGAGCTAACTGATAACGACGGAGAAATAAGCAATAATTTGAATAAATATTTTTCAACAGTTTTCACCACCGAAAATTTAAACATGATACCCGAGGCACCGACTCTATTCAGAGATAGAGAAGAAAACAAATTAAGAGAGATAGTAGTGACTAGTAACGATGTTAGTAAGCAAATAGACAAACTAAAGCCTAATAAGTCACCTGGTCCTGATGAGATATTTGCCAGAGTATTAAAGGAATGTAAGGAAGAGCTTAGTATGCCCTTAGCAAAGTTGTTTAACATGTCCTTAAAAACAGGTGTAGTACCAGAATCATGGAGGATAGTGAATGTAATACCGATTTTCAAGAAGGGGGATAGATCACTATCCTCTAACTACCGCCCAATCAGTCTAACATCAATAATAGGCAAATTACTGAAAGCAATCATTTCAAAATCTATTCGAAATCACCTGGAGAAACACCGATTGATCAATGATTCCCAGCATGGCTTCACAAGCGGACGTTCTTGTCTAACTAATCTATTAACATTCTTTTCATCAGTTTTCGAATCGGTGGACGAGGGGCACAATTATGATGTGGTATATCTCGACTTTAGCAAAGCCTTCGACAGAGTCCCCCACGAAAGACTAATTAGAAAGGAAGAAGCACATGGTATCAAAGGTAACATCCTTAAATGGATTAGGGCGTGGTTACAGGACAGGAAACAGCGAGAGAGCATTAACGGCACTAAGTCCCATTGGAGCAACGTCACAAGTGGAGTTCCCCAAGGCTCAGTACTTGGACCATTATTATTTATTATATACATAAACGACATAGATATCGGCATAGACAGCAACAGAAGTAAATTTGCTGATGACACTAAAATAGGACGTGTAATTAAATCTGACGAGGACTCCGGAGGCAAAACTACAGGAAGATCTAAACAAATTTTTCGAATGGTCTGAAAAATGGCAGATGAAATTCAACGTGGACAAATGTAAAGTACCCAGTATAGGAGATGTAAACAGGGAAACCAGATACCAGATGAACAACGATGCCATAGAGAAATCCGACTGCGAGAGAGATTTAGGAGTAATGATAAGTAGGAACCTTAAGCCAAGTAAACAATGTGTTTTTGCTCGTAACAAGGCTAATAAAGTACTTGGGTTCATACAAAGGAGTGTTAGTTACAAGACTAGCGAGGTCATCCTAAAACTGTATCTTGCGCTTGTGAGACCACACCTGGATTACGCAGTTCAGTTCTGGTCACCGAATTACAGAATGGATATAGAATCATTGGAAAGAATTCAGAGGAGAATGACAAGACTAATCCCGGGCATTAGGAACCTTGAGTATAGAGACAGGTTAAAGCATCTTAATTTGCACTCCCTCGAGAGACGTAGAGTGAGGGGCGACATGATAGAGGTGTATAAATGGAAGTCAGGGCTAAACAAAGGGGACATTAAAAAGGTACTCAAACTATCCAACCAGGAGCGAACTCGTAACAATGGTTTTAAATTAGACAAATTTAGATTTAGGCGTGAAATAGGTAAACACTGGTTTGGAAACAGAGTAGTGGATGAGTGGAACAAGTTACCAATTATCATCATTAACTCGAATATGCTGAATAGCTTCAAACATAGGCTGGATGCTTATATGAGCAATAGGGGTTGGGTATAAACGGGATTGCCCAGTATGGGTCAATAGGCCCGCTGCAGTTTCCTCCATTCTTATGTTCTTATGTTCTTAGGACTATATCTGGTCTTGTTCTGGTAAGAACTATATCTAGTCTTGTTCTGGTAAGAACTATATGTGGTCTTGTTCTGGTAAGAACTATATCTGGTCTTGTTCTGGTAAGAACTATATCTGGTCTTCTTCTGGTGAGGACTATATCTGGTCTTGTTCAGGTGAGGACTATATCTGGTCTTGTTCTGGTAAGAACTATATCTGGTCTTGTTCTGGTAAGAACTATATCTACTCTTGTTCTAGTAAGAACTATATGTGGTCTTGTTCTGGTAAGAACTATATCTGGTCTTATTCTGGTGAGGACTATATCTGGTCTTGTTCTGGTGAGGACTATATCTGGTCTTGTTCTGGTGAGGACTATATCTGGTCTTGTTCTGGTAAGAACTATATCTGGTCTTATTCTGGTGAGGAATATATCTGGTCTTGTTCTAGTGAGGACTATATCTGGTCTTGTTCTGGTGAGGACTATATCTGGTCTTGTTCTGGTGAGGACTATATCTGGTCTTGTTCTGGTGTGGACCATATCTGGTCTTGTTCTGGTAAGGACTATATCTGGTCTTGTTCTGGTGAGGACTATATCTGGTCTTGTTCTGGTGGGGACTATATCTGGTCTTGTTCTGGTGAGGACTATATCAGGTCTTCTTCTGGTGAGGACTATATCTGCTCTTGTTCTGGTGATTATTATATCTGGTCTTGTTCTGGTGAGGATTATATCAGGTCTTGTTCTGGTGAGGACTATATCTGGTCATGTTCTGGTGAGGACTATATCTGGTCTTGTCCTGGTGAGGACTCTATCTGGCTTTGTTCTGTTGAGGACTACAATATATCTGGTCCTGTTCTGATGAGGATCATATCTAGTCTTGTGCTTTTGAGGACTACAGTATATCTGGTCCTGTTCTGGTGAGGACTATATCCGGTATTGTACTGGTGAGGACTATACCTGGTCTTGTGCTGGTGAGGACTATATCTGGTAATGTTCTGGTGAGGATTATATCTGGTCTTGTTCTGGTGAGGACTATATCTGGTATTGTTCTGGTGAGGACTATATCAGGTCTTGTTCTGGTGAGGACTATATCTGGTCTTGTTCTGGTGAGGACTATATCAGGTCTTGTTCTGGTGAGGACTATATCTGGTCTTGTGCTGGTGAGGACTAAATCTGGTCTTGTTCTGGTGAGGACTATATCTGGTCTTGTTCTGGTGAGGACTACATCTGGTCTTGTTCTGGTGAGGACTATATCTGGTCTTGTTCTGATAAGGACTATTTCTGGTCTTGTTCTGATAAGAACTATTTCTGGTCTTGTTCTGG